GAAAGCAAGAACTCAAAACGGGGTTTTCCTGGGGTAGGTATGATACAAGCAAAAGAAATGGTACGAAAGATGGCACGGGGTCGGGAAGTGGTTCGTCACATATGTGACGCGCAGGGGGTTCCAAAATTATGCGATCTCCCGATTGCATGGAATGGTGAAAGAAAGAGGGGAGAACAGAGTGATGCATAAGGAACCAAGCGTATCAACAGAGCAGAAAGAGGTACAAGGAATGATAATTGGGTCGTGGATGAGATGGCGACAACATCCGTGGCAAAATTTCCACAGCCCTGTCATATGCAACCCTCTGTCTCGTGGAGATCGTCCAGGTGACGCCATCATGGTCCACCTGATCTCCGTGTGCTCTGCACCCTTGCCGTCTGTCGAATCAGCGTGTAGGTTGTCATCATCGTTGATGGCGCGATCTTCGCGAGGCTTACCGATTCGTGTTGATGAAGGGAGGAGGGAAAAAAAAGAGGGGGGGGTGTTCAATTGAATGGGATCTACCGCCTAGCTGGAATATGCCAGTAGAGGCAGTACATGCCGGGGATCTCCCGGGGATGACGGGTGGGGAGTGGGGGTAGGAAGCGATTCATCCCCTCCATCATCACCGGGAGCTCCTCATATCGGATGATTCGGTGGAAGCGGGGAAAATGATCGCCACTGCGGGGTAGGGAGGCGAGGTACTCGCGATAGAAGGAGGAAAGGGTGCGGAAAAATGCCGCTCGAAAGACCTCGAAGTGGCGACAGGCGGGGATTGTTCCCCTGGCAACGCAATAGACTTCTACGACGTTGGATCGCTCTGATGTAGCGCTGAACAACAGAAGATGCCAGCAGAATGTGGGAGCAGCGGACTGAAGGGAGGCGTGAGGATGGATGGTGGCGAGTATATGGGTAGAATAGAAGTCGTGGAAGATATGGGGATGAAAAGGATGGGAAGGGAAGGTGACAGGGGTACGGATCTGCTCAAGGGTGAGAAAATCAAGGGGGCGGCGGGGCAGCGTCCGAGGTCGAAGGCCTATCGCCCGCATTGGTACGCGGGCGAACTGGGGGACGGGTGGGGCTGGAGGAGGAGGGGGATCGGCACCGTCTCTGTCGCGCGGTACTTGAGGTGGCGGCTGCAAGGTCGCCATCTTCTTCTTCGTCGTTGTCGATCACCACTTCCTCTGCCCTCGGATAAAAGGCGTAAGGGATGATCTCGTACGACTTCAGATACTCCTGCTGCGATGGTAGGGTATTCTCGTCCCTAGGTTCCTCCAAGCACGAAGTCCACTGGAGGTACGGATCCAAGGATGGCTCGAAAATGTACGGAGCGGGACTGTTGTCACTTTGAAAGTAGATGTTGGACGAGAGATCGTCCGCCAATTGCACGATCGGTGCGATGAGCTCCTGTGCAATCAACTGACGGCGACCCGGTCGTACCGACCCAAAGAGGAATCCAATAAGATCTCCTTCCTCGTTAATCCTCCAACCCTGTATGATCATCAATTCCGGCTTCTCGATCCACGTGGGGTGCTCATTAGTGCCCGTCCACTTCACTTGTACTCTAGCCAAGCAAAAGGATAGCTCCTCAAAAGTTTCGCGCCACAATCGCCAATGTCCAGGATGGATAAGAGGGACTGAAAGAGGCTCGAACGAGAGGGAAAGAGAAGGGTGAAGATCGGATTGCCAAAAGGTGGGGAAGAGAGAGGGGAGACCAAAGGTAGAGAGAGGAGCGAGACGAACAGCGTGGTTCATTGGGGACGGGGAAAGGGGACGAGGGTTGGGATCGCCACTGGCCGCTCGCGCGGTAATCGGCGAATGCCATCAAGGTCCGATGCAAAGATCGGGATGATGTTATACCCCTCCCGGGCGAGGACGTGCTGCGACACGTTGGACACTTGCTCCGTCCACTCGCGCAGCGAGGCCAAGATCACGGTATGCCGCAGCGGATTGACCGAGCTGATGTCACCGGTGAATCCCGTCACTGTGGTGATGTGGCTCGTTCTGGGACCCACTCGTCGATGAACTGCAGTAACCTCCGCGAACACTATCGCGTGAGGGCTTCCTTCTATCCGAAACGCGGCAGCGACACAGATACCTTCGTTGCAGAAAAATCGCATCAAACGACGGAGATTCGTATTGAGCCGAGGATGACAAACTTGTCGGATCTCTGAGATGTGGCCACGTGGCTGTCGCAGCTATGCGTCGAGAACCCGCTCCGTGATGAAACTCATGGCGAGGTCGGAGAGGAGGATGAGGGACAAGAAGGAGAAAGAGGAGAGAGGGTTAGATCGTCGTTGTTTTCCTCGCTTCCTGAGGAAGAAGAGGGAGGAAAATCGGAAGGAGGAAGGAGACGGAGGTAGGAGGTATGTCTGACGATTGGGACAGAGCTATGGCTAGCGCTAGCCTCAGGCGCGATGCGTACCGTGTTGGCGCCGTTGGACCCGA